GACGAAAAACCTCCGTCCCGATTTGTTCGAGACGCCCGGTGTCTTGGTACCCTCCTCCTGTTCGTCCTCGCTCTTCGCATCCTCGTCCTCGCCCGCATCCTCGTGTTCCTCGTCTTCGCTCTTCCTGCTCGGTACCTTCGTGGCCTTGGCCCTCGTCCTCGTCCGCCGCCTGATTCTCCGAGTCCTTGTCCACATCGTGTACTGGCCATTCTCGTCCTTCTCATCGTGTTGCTACGTCTCGTTCTTATCCTCGGTCTGGCCATAGTCATCATCCTCGTCAACACCATCATCAACATCGTCATCGTCATCGTCACCATCATCAGCACCAGCATCAGCATCAGCATCAACATCAACATCATCACCATCAGCCCCATCATCATCACCGTCATCAGCATCATCATCATCAGCATCGTCATATGCATAAACATCAGCATCTGCAACAGCATCATCAACATCAGCATCATCATCCCCCTCATCACCATTATCCTCATCCTCAGCATCTTCATCATCATCATCATCAGCATCATCACCATCATCATCAAAACAGCATCAGCATCAGCAGCATCCTCATCCTCCCAGTCATCATCATCATCATAATCATCATCATCATCATCATCATCATCATCAGCATCATCATCAGCATCAGCCTCAGCATCGTCATCAGCATCATCATAATCATCAGCATCAGCATCATCATCATGATCATCCGCATCATCAGCTTCATCATCACCAGCATCGTCATTACCACCACCATCATCGTCATCGTCATCATCAGATCATCGTCATCCTTACCATCACCATCACCAACACTAATAACACCATCATCACCATCAACACCATCACCAGCACCAACAGCATCAACACCATCAGCATCACCATCATCATCAGCATCAGCATCACCATCAGCACCATCAACAGCATCATCTTCCTCATCATCATGATAATTAGCATCATCGTCGACGTCGTCGTCGTCATCACATCCCCCTTTCGCTCATGTTCGTCGTCTTGGTTCTCCCGTTCCTCGTATTCCTCCGTTCCCACTCATCCGCATTCGCATCCTTCTGCTTCTCATGGTTCGAGTCCTCGGCGTCCTCGCATTCGTCGTTACCCTTCTCATCATCATCCTGGCCGCCGTTGTCCTTGTCCTGGTCCTCTGCCTGTTTCTGTTCTGCCTGTTTCTGTTTCTCGTCCTCCTCGCCCTCCTCCATCGCCTCCTCCTTGTCCACTCACTCACAAACTCACGAGACTTTCTCCCTCGCCCTCCTCTTCCTGGCACTCTTGCTCCGTCCTTGCCCTCAAGCTTCACCCCTTCAGGCCTCGCCCCCATCCTGGCTCCTCTTCCCCTCAAGCCTCGCCCCATCCTTACCATTCCACATTTCTCAACCTCCTCCTCGTCTTGGTCCTGGTCATCGTTCTGGTCCTCGCCATCCTCGCTGCCTTTCCCCTCATGCTCGCTGTTCCTCCTCTTCCTCCTCCTCCTCCTCCTCCTCCTCCTCCTCCTCCTCCTCCTCCTCCTCCCCCTCGTCCTCTTTGACGTTGATCGGACTTCAAGCACGGGGCTCGCAGCGTTCACCTCCTCCTCCTCCTCCTCCTCCTCCTGAGCATTGCCCTCGCCATCCTTCTCGGTCTCTTCGTCGCTGGCCCCCTCATCTCCATCCTCTCATCTCCCCCCCCTCGTCCTGGTCCTCGTCCGATCCTCGTTTTCGGAAATGCTTCCTGCTCGTTCTCCTCGCCTCCTGCAGTCGCTCCTCGCATCCTCCACTCTCCTCCCCTCCTCCTCGGCCCCCTCCACTCTCCTCCCTGTCATCACCTCCCCTCCTCCACCTCCGTTTCCTGCTCATTCTCCCTCCTCCTCCTCCTCCTCCTCGCCCTCCCCCTCCCCGTCCATTTTCCCGGAAAGGGCTTAGGCCCAGGGTTCTCGTTCAGTGTGTTTACCCCCGGTGCTGGCGGCTGTATGGCCGGCGAAGTTATTTTGCTATAGATAACGAGGTCGCCTAGGGCTGTTGAAATAAAATTTGAGGATGTCTCGAGCGAAACGCTTGTTTTGTTCAGAATGTGCTGAGGATGTCTTGAGCGAAATGCTTGTTTTGTGTTATAGATTGTCCTCTCCTGGGGGCCAGAATTCAGAGGATCTCTCAAGTGAAATGCTTGTTTTCAGGTGCCCAGGTCTTGAGGATGTCTCGAGCGAGACGCTTGGTTTCGCGCCTCCAGGTTGCCCAGGCAGAGGTCTAGCGCCAGGATTTGTTGAGGATGTCTCGAGCGAGACGCTTGGTTTCACGTGTCCTCGTCACCCCGGCGGATGTCTAGCATGAGGATGTGTTGAGGAAGTCTCGATCGAGATGCTTGTTTGCACGTGTCCAGGTTGCCCAGGCGGATGCCTAGCATGAGGATGCGTTGAGAATGTCTCGAGAGATACGCTTGTTTTCAAATGTCCAGATCGCCCAGGCGGATGTCTAACATGAAAATGTGTTGAGGATGTCTCGAGCGAGACGTTTGCTTTCACGTGTCCAGGTCGCCCAGGCGGATGTCTAGAATGAGGAGGTGTTGAAAGCGTCGCGAGCGAAACGGTTGTTTTCACGTGCCCAGGTCACCCAGGCGGACGTCTCACATGAAGGTGTGTTGAGGATGTGTTGAGCGAACCACTTGTTTTCACGTGTCCAGTTCGCCCAGGCGGATGTCTAGCATCAACATGTGTTGAGGATGTGTTGAGCGAAACGCTTGTTTTCACGTGTCCAGGTCGCTCAGGCGGATGTCTAGCATCAGTATGTTGACAGGATGTCTCGAGCGAAACGCTTGTCCCCAGCACGTTCCGTAGCGCGTCCCCTTGGCACGTCCCGCGGTGTGTCCCCATGGCATGTCCACTGGCTCGTCACTTGGCGCGTCCCTTGAGACGTTCCGCGGCGCGTCCTCCTGGCATGTCCCCCTGTCAATTTGCTCTGGGGCAGCTACTATGTGTTCAGGCAGCTCGAGCTTACGATCCAGATGAGTTCGGTCAGGACTCGGACACAAAGGAGGACTCGATCCACGACGCTATAGAGCACAATCGCGGCATGGCACATCGCAATTAAGCACGGCGCAGCACAGCACAGACTTCGGACGGGTACATCAAGATCGTTACACTCAGCATTGCAACTTGGCACGTTCATTGGCACGTTTCGTGGGGCGTCCCTTGGCGAGTCCCCCTGGCACATCCCGTGGCACATCCATTGGCACGTTCCGTAGCGCGTCCCCTTGGCACGTCTCGCGGTGCGTCCCCATGGCACGTCCCCTGGCACGTCGCCTGGCGCGTCCCTTGGGACGTTTCGCGGCGCGTCCTCCTGGCATGTCCCCCTGTCAATTTGCTCTGGGGCAGCCACTATGTGTTCAGGCAGCTCGAGCTTACGATCCAGATGAGTTCGGTCAGGACTCGGACGCAAAGGAGGACTCGATCCACGACGCTATAGAGCACAATCGCGGCATGGCACATCGCAATTAAGCACGGCGCAACACAACACGGCCCTCGGCAGTGTACATCCAGATCGATACACTCAGCATTGCATTTGCCCGTCACCCAATCAAAAGTCTTTGAAAACGTTGCCATGCTTTACATTTCTATGTTCCTGTCCGGGTTCGTAGGTCGGTCATGTTCCCCTCAGACGTCCGCCCCCGCCGCCTCGTCCCCCCATGACCCCCATCCCCACCCCCTCCTCCATCAATCCCACCTCCTTCCTCTCTTCTTCCTCCTCCTCCCCCCAGTCTACGTCGCTTTATCCCACTTTGCAAGTCCTCAGAGCGGAAACAAAGGTCATCTCTCCTCTGATGCCACGTTGGTTTGCTGCAGCCTCAGACACTTGCTTCTTAAGCGCAAGTGTTTACACGCTGCTGTCGTACGTGGGGCTGCTTTCGATCGATCTCCGCTTTCGACCCTTCAAAAACGTAGTTCGTGTTTAGCGCTTGCCACTTATCAGAATCGGAGGGTTGCTTCTGTCGCTTAGAACTGCGCTCTCGCTCAAGCGTGGCCGACATGTCTGGATCCGATTCTTTCCTCGTCGTTGCCGTCACCCTCCGTTCAGCCTCACGTCTTGTACCTTGCCGGTCTCGACAGCCTTCTCGTGGTACGCTCAGCCGCGTGCCATCATCTCTTGTACAGCTGTGCCAACCGAGGGACGCGGACGGTGCGGTACACCACGGCTCCCAGCTCGCGCAGCCGTTGCACGTTGGCGAGCGCAAATTTGGTAAAGCACGAGCGGCTGCAACCTGGATGCGTCCGAGACCGAACCGCTGGCCACTCGTGCGACCTTGGCAATTGCATTGCTGCCGTCGCCAGTGCCTGCGCGGCGATTGAGGCTCACGCTGGCTTCTGCAGGGGCATGGCAAGGGCGGCCGCGGAGAGGGGGGCGTGGTCTTGGAGGGGGCGCTGCTGCAGCTCAGCCGAAGTGCCTGCAATACGGTCGCAGAAGAGGACAATCAAGAGACCGGGCTCACCTAACTCTCTCAGCGTGCAGGCGAAGTGCGCACAGTACCCTCGACCGTGTGAGCTACGAGAGTGTCTGGCAGCAGTGGTCCTACTAGAGTGGCCACGGAGGAGGGAGACAATGAGGGGAAGGCGGGGAGAGGGAATGGGGGGAGGGTAAAGAAGGAGGATAAAGAATACGCCTCTGTATCTTGCTGCTCGGAACCATGCCTACTGTTACCGCGACGCGGCTCCTCCTCTCTTCCTCCCTCTCTCCTCCTCCCCCCCGCTCATCCTCCCCCCTATTCATTCTCTTCCTCCTCCTCCTCCTCCTCCTCCTCCTCCCCCTCCTCCTCCTCCTCCTCCTCCTCCTCTTCCTCCTCCTCCTCCTCCCATGGTGGTGCACCACGTAGGAGTTCGGATCCACCCCCCTCCTCCCTCCAGAATCAAAATCCGGATCACTTCCTCCTCCTCCTCCTCCTCCTCCTCCTCCTCCTCATTCTCCTCCTCCTCCTCCTCCTCCTCCTCCTCCTCCTCCTCCTCTTCCCCTCCATTCCCTCCCCTCCGCCTGCTGAGCGACCGCAGCGGACCCCAGGCCCGACGGACCCGGCGACGCGGCGAGCAGGGACCCGAGCGCGGCCGCGGCCGCGGCCCGCGACGCCTGCGCCAGGAACGCGAGGGGCGGCGCGGCCCGCGGCCCGAACCTTCGAGGCGAAGCCCCCCCTCTCCATGAGCGGGAGGAGGGGAAGGAGGAGGGGGGAGGAGGGGGGAGGGGGAGGGGGGGGAGGAATAGGTGGTGGAGGAGGAGGAGGAGGAGGAGGAGGAGGAGGAGGAGGAGGAAAGAGGAGGAGGAGGAGGAGGAGGAGGAAGTGGAGGAGGAGGAGGAGGATAATGAGGAGGAGGAGGAGGAGGAGGCGGAGGAGGAGGAGGAAGTGGAGGAAGAGGAGGAGAAGGAGGAGGAGGAGGCGGACGAGGGGGAGAACGAGGGGGAGGAGGAGGCCTTCCTCCGTTTCGGCCTCCCGCCACAGGCGACGGAAAGAAACGCCGTGTGGTGGCAAATCATCAAATCATGGGGACATCATGTTGGCTTTTGCGAGTCGACGCGGACCGACGCCAGCCTGCGCCGATTGACGCTGAATCGACGATCCTCGGCGCTAGACCAGCGCTGCCGCCTGGATTGCCAGACGCTAGCCTGATGGCACACACACGCACACACGGCTCCCATGATCTGCTGCCGAAGAAAATGGGCATTACGCGAGAAGACATGGCGACCTTGCGCCGCGGCGTGCGCGCCCCCCCAGCGTGGCACACTGCGTGAAGAAAAGAGCGCTTGCGAGCGGCCTTGCGCGGGAAGCTCATGCGCGAATGCCCGCGCAATCGACCACATGGGGTCCGAGTAGACGGGGTCGAAGGATCGCTCCGCATCGCCGACGCACCAGCGATGCAGTGGCGACGTGACGCCGACGAGATAATCGGGCTCCGCATCGAGCAGCATCGCTGGTGCATCGGCGATGCGGAGCGATCCCTCGACCCCGTCTACTCGGACCCCCTCAGGATGGCCTAGACGGAGGCAACCAGCTGACGGCGACGATGAATCGCCACGAACCCAAATATCCGACGGAATATTCGTTTGTCAGGCCAAGCGCTCTTTCCAAGATTCGACCTCCAGGGTTGGAAGCGTTACCGTTGTGAAACAACTCCTGGAAGGTCTTCGCAAGAAAGACTAAAACCTACTAAGTCTGATTAGGAGGACACTCTGCGAGAACATGCCAGATTAAGCACGGGAACGAGCCCGATTAAGCCTGAGTGAGCAGAAATACGCGAAATTCCCCACGATTCTGCTGAATTGCGAAATTGCGACCACGGATATACCGGCGCCGATGCTGAAATTCACATTCCAGGGAGGGGCCGAAGTCGGGATGTCAGGACTTCTTGGGCTGCGCACTGAACCCGCCGGACCATACAGATCCTGAAATAGGGGGAGGACGATGAGGAGGAGGGGAGCAGGAGGAGGAGAAGGGGGAGGAGGAAGGAGGAGGGGGAAGGGAGGAGGAGGAGGAGGAGTGGAGTGGACGCCGTTGCGAATGCAAGTCCCATATCCCTTACACCTGACGACTCGAAGCGGGCCTCGAACGCCTGGCGGTCTGTTCCGCCTGGCTCAGGGCTTTGGGCTGTAACTCCCTTCTGATCCTGTCAAGGTACTCACGCTTGGTCATATTCAATTTCCCTGTGCAGGGGCCCTTGAGGGATCGCAAAGCCTTATCCGCGATCCCCCCGCACAGGGTACATAACCACACCTGAAGGGACTTGTGTACATTCGACGTGTGAATACTATGTGCCCAGCCCCCCGCGATATGGATTCTATCCCCTTTGAGGGGAGAGAAAATGACCCCAACAACATTAAAAAGCTTAGGACACGGGGAGCCACCCCATTCAGTTAGTGTAGCTTGAGTGGCAGACCCGAAACAACTCAGACATCGTTTCTGACAGTCCGCCAAGGAGTGGGGCGAAAAGAGAGCCGCGACAGCAGCAGCAGGAGGAGGCGGGAGGGGAGGGGGAGGAGGTGGAGGAAGAACCCCGGGTCTACTCAGTCTAGCCGTCCTCCCAGCTTCCGTCGTAGCAGCAATACTGTCCATCGTAGCTCTCGGCAGTCGCATTCTGACTAGGTGCGCCTACGCTCGTGCAGCAACACTCTTGTTCGAATACTTTCGGGCACACGCACGCGTTTAGCTGCATATCCCGCAAACTCGTCAGCGATCAAATTTCCAATAACAAGGCTCCGGAAACATGCGCCAGCCACAATATTCTTAGCATTCAAATGGGAGTGTGTTCACAACGCAGCAGCATGACTCACAACACGTGTACTCATCACTTCACTGATCATATTCCATATACCTGCATCCTCCCCGTCTGGGGACATGTACCTACCATCAGACCATCCTTTAGCCACGAGTTCGCAATCCGTCACGAATGTGACAAAGCCGGAGCCACACCACAACGCTAGGTACAGGGCAAGCAATTCTCCACGTGCCACAACCTGCCTGTCCCCCCCGAGTGGTCCTGACACGGTCGCTCGAATCCCAACCTGGGGAAGGATGGCCGTCACACATACAATAGCCACCCCCACACGTCGCATCGTATCCGAAGATGAGTCTGCACCTCCAGGCGCATCCCACACAAGAAGGATAGGGTCCCCTTCACTCCCAGGTCCCAGACAGCCCTCAGTGAGCCCGTTGAGCCCCGTGGTTGCCAAATCCTCAGTCTGCGTTGGTCTGGGTACCTCCGTCCACTCATAAGGTATCCTACCGCGAATCCAAAATGCCTCAGTCGTGCGGAACTGTGCATGTGCTTGCGGTACCAGGTCATGCGTACGTGTATAAGGTGCCGCCCCATCATTTATCTACAATCCCAGAATATGTGGGAAAGGCGTTTCAGCAGCTTTTTTACATCGATCACATGTATCTGTTCCCTTGTATTTGGCAATTTGTTCACACTTGCGTTGTTTCGTCCAGAAGCCCCCCGTCCATATGTTTACCATTACACCATTAGCCCCCCCCATCTGAGTCCCATGCGGCATATCATTCTAAGTGTTGACAGGCCTACGATACGATTCCATATCAGTACTCGTTTCTAAACCTCGTCCATAGTAATGTTTAGACGCCTGTTGCCAATTCAATCGTCGTGCGGAGTCTTTAATATCTTTAAGAAGATCGCGATGGTGATCCAATGCTGGGTTGCCAATAGATATAATATCTAGATCTGGGAATTGCCATTCTTCTTCCGAACCTGAATGTGCTTCAGTCGGTTCCCATTGCAGTCGTCATGTATTCAATCTCGTCGCGGATATCGATCCCTTGACAGCACGAACTTGGTCTCCTGGGCCCCGCTGCGTCATCCCCGGTAACGCTTTAGGCCATACATACCGAATGCTTTTACGTAGATCTGGATGGGCCTGCCACGACTTTAGCCATTGGTCAATACATTGAGCTGGGTACATGACCGAGGGATCTGCCCCATGTGCCCTTAGCTCCAAGAGTGATTTGAGGCATCTCCCCTTAGTGCCCGCTCCACGCGTCATGCCTAAGCTTCGCCTACACTGCAATAACTGTTTGCAAACGACCCCATGGACTTGGTGTCCATAGGCCCCTGTCGCGTGCCATAATATGATACTGTTTGGACGCCCTCGTGAAACGCTTAACCTTTTCACTCACCCCCGCGTGTTTCTCATCACTTTGCCTTCTCGTCTCGCGGCCACGTCGGCCGCAACTGCAATCAACTCCAAGGTAAGCCACTTGTTTCGCCACACGTAAGGGAAAGCCCTGCAATCGTGCCGCTCTCGCAACTGCTTGAGCATCACTTACATTCGTGCACATCACACCTGATTCCTTTGCAATCTTAAGCCCAACTTTAGCAAATTCTTGTCCAATTGTAATAGCAACTTTGATAAGGTTGCACCGTACTGCACGCCGTGATCCTGCCGTTCGCTGCGAAATACCGCCGATCCACACTCGATGTCCCATCTGCGGCGTCGCAGTCGTCACATATTGCAATACAACATGTGCGAGAACTTTGGACAATCTCGTGACCGACCTCAGGCCCTGCACCACCGATTGGCAAGGCTCGAACGGGTCGGACGCTGCTCCTTCCTGCTCCAACGCTCGGGCCACGACGCTCTGCAGCAGCTCTAGGTGCAGCGACGTCGGGGGAAACCCCAACCTGAGCGCCCCTTTGACTAGCGGCGCCCACGGGATCGTGTCGTATAACTGCTGCACGTCGGCGAGGTTGTGGCCGAACTGTAACAGCACGCAGGCCGCCAACTCCTCGTCGATGGCCCTGAGGTAGGCCTCCTGCAGGCGCGGGTTGCCCGCCGCCGCCGCGTCCCAGACCTGCTCCTCTTTCGCCGACCACTGGCGCGCGATCGGCTCGCGAACGTGCGGCCGCAGCCTGCCCAGCATGGGGACCAAGCCAATGGCTCGGTCTCCCGTGACCTTCTTGGGGGTCACCTTGACCAGCGCCATCATCGTCTGCACTGGCCACACCAGCAGGTGCTCGATGCTCTGCAGGATGACCGCAAGTTCCGCGATGGCTGGCGCTGGCAGCCGCTTGAAGTCCATAGGGGGCATCATGTCCACGCCCATGCCCGCCTTGGCCTTCATGGCCTTGGCGCGGGCATAGATCTGGTCAGGTTGGATCGGCGGCAGAGGTTCCAGTTCCGCTGCAGCTCTGATGATCCGAAAAATCTCTTTCACTTCTGACGCCTGCGGGGCTGACGGGGCCCGCAACTGTTTGACCTGCTATGCTTTAATATTCGTCACGTCTGCTGGGTGCTGCGCAACTTTCCCATCTCGGATAGCCTCCATCGTTGGTAACGGTTGAGGCTTAAGAGATTTATGCAGCACCCCTGTGACCATGGGTTCCACTACCCATGACTGAAATTATGCCACTGGTTCTTTCACTGCTGCCCGCTGCGCCCTGCCCATGATACGCATGGCTGACTCGGCATATGATTCCAAGACCGCAAAGTCGATACTTCCAGGGTCTCGTAATGCACGCAGGCACTGCTCCCACGGGGGGTCGCGAGGCAGGTTGAGCAGCCCATGTGCTCGTTCTGGTCGGTCCTCTCGAAGTTTGCTGCGTGCCTCGTACATGTCCTGTAGCTGCTTGGCACCTTTGTTTCGGCTGCGATGCCTGGCCACGCCATGCA